AACTTGATTTTTAGTAAAAGTTAGATGCTCTATAGTTTAAATTTCATGATATTCTAACAAAATGTCTATAACTTTCTCTATATGATACAGAAATCACCTTTTAAAGCAAAAATATGGTCAATGTGGAATATTTTTATAATTCTCATCATAATTGCTGCTTAGCAAAATAAACATAAGTTTGAACAGTACATTACTAGTTCAAATAAACTTAAGATTATACCCTTACTAGTCCACTAAAATATCCTTGGTGTTTGCCACAAATAACAATGACTATACACAGAATTAGGAAAGCATTAAAACTATATAATCACAAGTATTATCATCTTTAGAGTTAACTGTTCATTGCACAGAAAAAGCAAAAAGCTATAAAATGAAAGGATATTTATTTTATGTTTATAATTACCTTTCTTGAGACCACTATTACTGCAGACAAAATTATACATTTCTTCAAACTTGTAGGCTGAGTAGACAGATATATTTTGAAAAGGTTAAGCTATGTTTAGCAAGGTAATCCTCAAGAGATGGATGCTCGAGAATTAAATATTCAGTACTTAAATTAACTTCTTATTTGGTACTTAGGAACAAATTGCCAAGAATTAACATCATCAAATAGAACATTTATTGACTCTCTTAGAAAAAGAAAGGGAGGTCTACTTAAAGAAAAAAAAAACTTTAGAATTGGAAAGAAACCAGCAATTTTAACACATTGCGTGGATAACAGAAGCTATAAATCCTCAAGATGATGTTTGGCTTACATAGTGCTAGTGAAAATAACTCAAAATAGTAGAATTTCTTGACTGCTAGATTACATTTATGTCTTAATTTTCTACTCTCAGATTTAGGCTTTAAAAAGACATTCCAAAGAATGTCATGCTGAGTTGCTGTTTCTGCTAGAGATACTGGAACAGTTTTGAAATTTCCAAAATATTTCACACATAATTTTTTTAATTTAGCAAATATTGACTTGATAAATTAAAACAAAAAGGCTGTAGATACATAAAATTATGATTGACAAATAAATCCTAAACATATAGAAAATAAATGTGAGAATGACCTTCTTTTAGGAATTCAAATTGAAACTCATTGTGATTACTAAACACTGGGAAACTAGGTAATTTGAAACCATGAAAGAATGCAGTAGAGTATTCCCAGTTTTACTAAAAGTCAAGTTGGAGGAAATGGATTCAAAATATATCATGAAGGACTCAACAAAAAAAGAAAATTACAGACCAATATCCCTTATGAATATAGATGCAAAAATTATCAATATAATCCTAGCAAACTGAATTCAGCTGCACATCAAAGAAATAATCCATCACAACCAACAGAGCTTCACCCCAGAGATGCAAGGATGGTTCAAAATATGCAAATTTATAAATATAATTCACCACATAAATAGAAGTAAAAACAAAAACCATATGATCCTCTCAATAGACACAGAAAAAATAATTGACAAAATTCTGCACCCTTTTATGATAAGAACACTCTTAACAAAATAGGCATAGATGGTACTTTCCTCAAAATTATAAAAGCCATATACAAAAAACCCATAGCCAACATCATACTGAATGAGGAAAAATTGAAAGCATTCCTGCTTAGAACTAGAACCAGACAACTGGAACCTGACTATCACCACTTCTATTCAGCATGGTGCTGGAAGTCCTAGCCAGAGCAATCAGATAAGAGAAGGAAATCAAGGGCATCCAAATGAGAGCAGAGAGGTCAAACTATTGCTCTATGCTAGCGATATAATCTTATATCTAGAAACCCGCAAAGATTCTGCCAAGAGACTCCAGGAATTGATAAATTCATCAAAGTCTCAAATTACAAAATCAATGTACACAAATCAGTAGCATGCATATATACCAACAACAGCCAAGCTAAGAACCAAATCAAAGACTCACTACCTTTCACAATAGCAATAAATAAAATACATAGGAATATATTTAACTAAGGAGGTGAAAGAACTCTACAGGGAGAACTACAAAGCACTGAGAAAGGAAATTGCAGACATAAACAGATGTAAAAACATACCATGCTCATGGATTGGAAGAATTAATATTGTTAAAATGTTTATACTACCCAAAGTGATCTACAGATTCAATGCAATCTCTATTAAAATACCAATCTCATCTTTTATAGATCTAGAAAAAATAATTCTATACTTCATATGGAACCAGAGAAGACCCCATATAGCCAAAGCAACCTTAAGCAAAAAGAAAAAATTGGGAGGCATAAATTTACCAGACTTCAAGTTATACTACAAGGCTATAGTAACCAAAACATGGTATTGGCACAAGAACAGAGACATACACCAATAGATCAGAACAGAGAATGCAGATATAAAACCATTCTCATATTTCTGATCGTTGGCAAAACAAACAAAAACATACACTGGGGAAAAGAATCTCTATTCAATAAATGATGCTGGGAAAATTGGATAGCCACAAGAGAAGACTGAAACAGGATTCAAACCTGTCACCACTCACAAAAAAATAACTCAGGCCGGGCGCTGTGGCTCACGCCTGTAATCCTAGCTCTTGGGAGGCCGAGACGGGCGGATTGCTCAAGGTCAGGAGTTCAAAACCAGCCTGAGCAAGAGCAAGACCCCGTCTCTACTATAAAATAGAAAGAAATTAATTGGCCAACTGATATATATATAAAAAAAAAATTAGCCGGGCGTGGTGGCGCATGCCTGTAGTCCCAGCTACTTGGGAGGCTGAGGCAGAAGGATCACTCGAGCCCAGGAGTTTGAGGTTGCTGTGAGCTAGGCTGACGCCACGGCACTCACTCTAGCCTGGGCAACAAAGCGAGACTCTGTCTCCAAAAAAAAAAAAAAAAAAAAAGAAACTTTTCAAAAAACATGAAAAAATACTCAACATCTCATATCATCAGGGAAATGCAAATCAAAACCACAATGAGATATCATTTAACTCCAGTGAGAATGGCCTTTATCAAAAAGTCCCAAAACAACAAGTACTGATGTAAATGCGGAGAGACAAGAACACTCATACATTGTTGGTGGAACTGCAAACTAGTACAACCTCTATGGAAAGTAGTATGGAGGTACCTCAAAAAACTAAAAGTAGACCTACTATTTCGATCCAGCAATCCTACTACTGGGTATTTACCCAAAGGAAAAAAAGACATTCTATAAAAAAGATACCTGCACTTGAATGTTTATAACAGCACAATTCACAATTGCAAAGATGTGAAAATAACCCAAGTGTCCATCAATACATGAGTGGATTAATAAAATGTAGTATATGTATACCAGGGAGTATTACTCAGCCATAAAAAATGCTGACCTAATACCTCTTATATTAACCTGGATGGAACTGAAAACCATTCTTCTAAGTAAAGTATCACAAGAATAGAAAAACAAGCACCACATGTACTCACCATTAAGTTGGTACTAATCAATAACACAAATGTGTACATATGGAAATAACATTCATGGGAAATCAAGCAGATGGGAAGGGGGGGGATTTGAGTAAATTCATACCTAATGGGTACAATGCACATTATCTGGATGATGGGCACACTTACAACTTTGACTCAAATGGTATAAAAGCAATTTGTGTAACCAAAATATTTGTACCCCCATAATATCCTAAAATAGAAAATAAAGGAATATAAAAGAACATTCATAAATTAAAAATGTGCATTGTTCTAAGAAAGGTACCTACTGTGCTTTTGTATCTTAAGGCCAGTACATAAGGCAAGTTTCTACATCCTCCCATCAGTGGAATAAAAATTACAATTGCATTAATAGAAAAAAAAAAAGAAGAAAAAAATAAATATATAAATATATATAATGGAAAATGTGCATAAGTTATTAATAATTTTGTAATCATGTAATTAAAAGTAATCTTTTCAAATATTATTTTCATATATCCAGGATAAATTGTAATACTAAAAAAGTTTATAGTAGATTTTTCAGAATTCCTATAAAAGCTTCTGAAAGGCAAGAGACTTTAAAGCATGCATTCTTAATGGGCCAGTGATCTTGCCCCCAATGGGGTGAAAATGGGTGCTATAGATGGGGGAAGGGGAGGGTGATAAGAGCTTACTCTTTTTTTTGTATAAAGCACAGACATACATAAAGTACCATAAACAGATATATAGCATATCCAGGGTATTACAATTTAATCAAGAGAGGTTATTGGGAGGAAAGGTCTTAAAATTTTCTTTAAAAGGGTGATAATAAAAAAGAAGGCTGAGAAAAACTGACTTAGACAAATTGAATTCTAATCTTTATTAAGAGATAAAAACTTATGCAAGTAACCTGACATCATGGACCCTAAATTTCTTCATGAATAAAATGGAAATTATGACTCTCGCTTGCAGTCGAAGACTTAAATAGGAAACATATGCAAAACACACAGCACAATGCTCAGAATATAGTTACTGCTAAATAAACATTAGGTCCCTTCCCTTTTCTTGTCTGAGGATGCTATAAATTATATATTCTCCACAAAAGAATATGCAAATTCCCAAGGAAAGTAAGACCCAAGGAGAAGTGGGATGAACTCCAAGAGGCAATGACTTTTGTATATGATCCCTGGACCCAAGTGTACCCAAGGATGGTGAAATCTAGTTTAAGATAGTGGGTTTCAGCACCAAATCTGTGACTTTTTGTAAACTGTATAAATGTAACTAAGTTGCTTAACTTTTATGAGCCTCAATTTCCACATGTGTACTCCAGAGTTGTGATGAAGAACAAGTGAAATAATGTACAGTATGTAACTCTCTTTGGGAACTAGGCTACTAAACTAAAGTTACCTTATGGTAGGGTATGGTTCTTGTTAGTACTGTCAAGAAGTGGAGATACGAACCTAGATTATGTACATACTGGGGAAGCAATGGGAAAGAACAAAACCCGCTCCTCTCTAGCATCCAAGAAAAGAATCAAATATTTAAAATCTAAACATCAAAAGGCAGAATGTCTTTGGCAGTTTAAGTTTAGTTTAAAACAAAATTACCAGTGGAACTCTTACCTATCCTTTTGCTCTTCATCTGAAAAGCGATCATTTATGAAAGATGTTCCAAATACTCCAAGTAGGGTATCGTGGCCTTTCTTATCAGCAGTGTGATACACTCGAGAAGCCAGGCGCAAGTCAATGGGCAATTCCCGGGATGGGATAGTGGTGCACAGATCATGAAGGTTAGGAGTGGAGTAGTTGTATGGAATTCTGTACCAGAGAAAAGAAAGTGAGCTTCTTTTATCATTTTGTGGTCTTCAGATATAAAATAATTTATATTGACAGTTTAGTTTAAGATCTAAAGAGCATATATTAATGTAAGAGATCGGGATTTGAAACTATAATAATGGTTTATAACAAATATAATATCACAATCTCAGGCCATTGTCCACAACTTTAAACTTGTATCCAACTACCTGCTGAATATCTCAACCTACATGTCCTACAAACACCTCAGAATCAACAGATCTAAGAGCAAACTCGTTACCACCCATCCCTAAACCTTTTTTCTCTGAATTCTGTAATTCAGTCTGGAAACACCATATCTAGCCATCATGCGTTACTCCTTTGCCATTCTGCTTAAATGCTAATGTCCCTAAAGAAGTAAGAAAGTATAGCACAATATTTGTTAACTAGCACTGATAAAACCTTGCATCTAAGTCACATCTTGGCATCTCCCTTCTCACTCTGCTGGACCTTGCCTCTCTCCTGACTTTCCAAAGGAGGGAAGAGGGCACGAAGATCTGGATTCCTAATCCCTGGCACTACTTGCCACCCAATCAACAAATATTTACTGAGCACCTACTATGTGCCAGACTCTGTGCTAGGTGCTTTACATGCATTTTTCTCTAACTCCCACAATGAAGCTATGTTAGAGGCATTATTATTCTTGTTTTGGAGCAGGCTTATTTTGGGTAAGTCACAAAATTAGTGGGTGACTAATAAGATCCAAACACAACGTTGCTGGCTATAAGCCAAATTTCTTGCCTATTAATGACTCCTGCCTGGAAGTGGCCCTTGTCCGGTACTACTATTCCATCCCCACCTCCCAACTAAAGCTATAATCTTACATCAACCAAATGACTTTCTTTTCATCAAATCAAATAAAATCAACTTCAGATCTTTAGATCATATTCTCTTATGACCTCCAAGTCGCAGCTGACAATATTGATGACTCTTCCTGAAACTGCTTTCTCTGTGAGCTTTATTAAGCCTACACTATCCCAGCTTTCCATCTATCTCCCAAACTCTTCAAAATCTGACTTAAGTCACTGGTTTTTCCTTCTCCAGCTTCCAAACTGGGTGTGGTTTCTAAAGCTTAACTTTATTTCCTACATTGGAAAACGCACCTTTGGTGTTTCAGCTATTCCCTCTGCGCTGAGAGCTCCCGTCTCACCCCCAGTAGCACTCTCTCACCTAGATTCTTCATCATGCAGAGCAAAAACATCTTTGACTCCTCTCTCCTTCACCTGCATATTCAGCACAAAACTGAGTTTCTTCCCACACAGAGTTGCTCCAGTGTGCTCCTTCTCCATTCTCACCGCCAGCTCCCCCCAAGACAAGGACCTCATCACCTCAGCCTGCACAGGCAAGGGTTTTCTAGCTGACTTAAGCACTGCACCCTCTGTCTTACCCCCTCTACAAAATTCTACGAGATTGATCTTAAGTTCTACTTTACCCAGCACAATGGTTCTTTGTTGCTACTGCATCTGTCTAACATCCTCTCTCTAAGTTTCAGGGCTCCTGGCATCTGGCCTCACTTCTAGCATAGTGATTAAGAGTGTAGACTCTTGAGTTAGATTGCCTAGGTCCAAATCCTGTTTAAAATTCTCACTTGGTCATAAGCAAGGCAATTAATTTCTCTGTACTGTAGTAAGTTATGAATAACAACATTACCGTGTTTCCCTGAAAATAAGACAGGGTCTTGTATTTATTTTTCCTCAAGAAGACACGCTAGGGCTTATTTTCAGGGATGTGTTATTTTTCCCCTCAAAGCCTCAGCTTGCAGCACTCACAGGATGGCCGGGACCTGACAGGGGGAGCTGACCTTGTTGGTGGGGCTGCCCGCACCTTTCCGGTCACCTCTGGGTTAGTAGCTGTCACAATGGGGCAGATGAGAAGGGCTGCTTGTCTTCTTTACCGCTCCGCAATGAAATGCACAGGTTGTGCAGATACACTGCGTAGCCCCACCCATCACTAGGTCTAATTTTCGGGGTAGGGCTTATATTGTGCAAATGCTTAGAAATCCTGCTAGGGCTTATTTTATGGGTAGGTCTTATTTTTGGGGAAACACGGTAGTGCATGCTGGATAAAGTTGCTTTAAGAAAGAAAAGTGAATGCATTCAGACAATGTCTCTCACATGGTAGATGTTAGCTACTGTCATTAGCTTCCAGGACATATCACAGAGCTAGACCTGTCAGTTCCTTCAGTTATAGATTGAATGCTGTCTACCCTTTTGTCCATGTCTAAACATCCTTCAAACAATATCTCAAGAACAGACTTCTCTGCAACTTTATCTTTTTATTTCTTTTTTACAACTGTCTCTTTTCATATATTGTCCTAGTCTTGTGCCACCTATTTTGACCCCTTATCTAGTGGGTTAATACTAGTCTGTCCAATGACTGCTCCATGTGTCTAGGATCACCTCAGAGAATAACATAATATGGAGCATATAGATTTTAGAGTTGGCTGGGCCTGGTTCAGAATTTCAGTTCTAACACTTGCACACTGTATTACTGGCTTCTCTGAAAGCCTACTGAAAAATGAGAATAAAAATCGCTAACTCTTGCTTTGTAAAAATTGATAAAAATAACAGAAATCATTCCTGGTCTATAAGAGGTCTCTCAAGAAATTATGATTTTGTTTTTATTGTTGTTGTTATTAGTTTGTAGTGCACAGCACCTAACCCATTGCTAGGCACAATATATACATTATGGAATCATTAACAGAGAGGGGTTTATGGCATTTCCAAAACACCATAGGGCTTAACAAAAACAGGACTTGAAATTCGTATAAGTTCATGCAAAGAAGGAAAAGCATTTAGAAATGCCTGAGACAAAGAGCCCTAACTGAGGGGTGAAAAGGAGTATCCAGGAAGCCAGAGCTCCAGGCACTCAGGACTCCTAAGAGAGGGCTTTTAAAAAAGAGAAAGAGAGAGAGAAGAGAAAAGGGTGAGCTCTAATGTCAAGCTCACCTATACCATCATTCTGCCTCAGACAGGTCCTAGCTAGTGGAATGTGCTTGAGATTACATTACTGATTTTTATTTTTTCTTAAAAAGTACCACAACCAATCTGAATTTCTAAACTCCCATTGAAGTGTAACAACATAGGTTAGCAAGTGAATCTCCCTTGGTTACTGAGCTAAATAACAATATGCTGCAGTAGATAGCTGAATTCCCAAGAAAACAATTTAATTTGGGGGCCAATCACTGGTGAGAAAATTTAGGTAAAAAAATTGATTAAAGAAAAAGGAGCAGTGAATAAAAGATTTTCAGAAATATTTTTCCAAGATTCTATTTTATTACATAAATTTTTTAAGTGTCATATTTTTATACACTTCATTCTTATTTCTCTCTAACAGGAACTTCTAATTTTGGTTTTAATGAATTAAAATAGGTCTCTCTCTATATATATATATAAGATCTACAAATATTTTTGGCATGCTCAAGAAAGGCTGTGTGTTTTTATAGCACACTCTCCTTAAACAGGACTATTTGTCATTCTTTGAAACACTAAGACATAAAAAAGAAAAGACTGACTCTGTGTGTGGCCATACTACTTTGCTTAATGCACTAAATGCAAGGGTTTTTAGAAAAAAAAAATCAAGAAGTTTCTGCTCCATTGATAATCTGACAGTAACTATTTATTGAAGTTAAAATACTTGTTGTCTGCTGTCACTATTTGTTTTAATACATAATCTTGCTAACTAAATGAGCTTAAAGCAATGCAGATAAGCAATGGTATGTACAGGGTCACTTAAATGCCAATTTGACTGTTTCATAAACTTTGGAATTCTTTTCCCATGAGTCTATTCTCAGCTACTAAATTGTGAGTAATATCCATTTACAAAGTTTGGGCTGGTCATAAAAAGGTTGTCTTCGGTGTCCAGCACACCTTTCAGTGCCCTAAGCAACAACAAAAGCTAATAATTAAAGCTTCTTTAAACCCCCATTAAGAGTTAAATGAAGAAGAATCTAGAATAAACCAACTCATAAAAACCTAGTGGTATAATAAGAAGAAAATCAGAGTTTCACCAAGGTAAATGGCAAAAGGTAAACCATAATCTAAATTGCACTTACACAGTTATTCAAAATTGTGGTTGTATTCCTGTGTAATAAAGAAACTCCACTAAAAATATGGGTGAGGAGATGAAACATGATAGTACAGAAAAATAAAGCCATCAAAATTATCAAATTTATTGACCTATGGACATTTTGTGTTGGGTTGCCTTTTATTTTATCATAACAAAATTAGTCAGTATAAAAGCAATTAATCCAAATCAGGCATTATAGTGATCAAAAATATCAAATCTTACATGCTAACACTTAGTTTTCTTTAGTCTCACAAAGAGCTACTTTTATTCTAGCTATTGTTATATCATGAAAGTACATTTTTCAAATGGGAAGAAAGAAGCACAGAATATAACATATATATTTCTAACTATAAAATCTGCCACTACTTTTTCTGTGAGAAGGTTTAACTCAGATCTTGTATATCCATTTCTAAAACATTTAGTTTTCCTTTTTAAAATGTATTTCCATGTATCAATGCTACTGAATAACTTATCTTCCAATAATAAAATTTATAAATTTAAGAAGCTTACTTATTATTTAGTTTTGGATCCCAAGGGGGTTTTAAACACTTTCTTGGTCTCGGTGGTGAAATCCCTGATACAGCTTTTCGTATTCGCTTAACTTCTTTTCCTTTTATTTCCAAGAATTCTAATGATTTCACCTTTAAAAAAATATATCACGTGGGTTATTAAGGGAATCTGTAATGTGAAGGCTAGATCGTTCTGTCATATTTAATGATCCATCTAATATTTAAACTCCTGATTTCTATGTATATTTTATAATAGAATATAAATCCTAAAGGTGAGTTGATATTTTCCTCTAAATCCATTCTTAAATTTTTACATATATACCTTCATAATAATAAAAATATTACTACCATATTTATTTACAATATCATTTATTTATCACGTTGAAATTATCAAAGAAGAAATATTAAGATTTCTCCCTTCATAAATCTACTCTTCATGATTGGTATTTTTAATAAAACTTATCCTTAGTTTGACATGACCGGTGGTTACAAGCATAAGCTAAAAAGAACTTTAATGCTTTATGTTACTATTTTGAGCAACATTTATCAATTTGTACTTCTTAGAGTTGTACTGCTTTCTATTACTACTGCTTGGGAAAAATAAAATACATTCTGTCTCATAAATAACTGCCTTTTAATCATTATAAGTATTAGGAGTATTGTTTTCCTAGGTTTCCTAGAAAATTGTAACATTCATGGTAATCATTGATGTAAAAATATTTTTCTATGTGGGTTGCTTTATAATTGTTGAGACTAGATTTAAGGAAGAAAGCAAGGAGGCACAATTACCAGAGCAGAGAGATACAGTTAAATGAGTAGCCAGATAAAAGGAAGTTCTTATAAATTAGGTAGAGGGTTTGGGCTTGACACAGTACTAAGAAAAGAGCTATTCCAACTTCTTGGGTAAGAAGTGATGAAGAATAAAAGTTGGAGGAGTACAGTGCATTCCATCTCACCATCCAGTTAATCTTTGAATTTCCTCTACAGTATCTCCACGAAGTAGTCAATACTTGGCTTAAACATGGTCAGGATCAGAGAAGTTAGATACACATAAAGGCAGCCACTTTCTCTTTGAAACTCTTCCAGTTGTTAGAATTTTTGTTTGTTTGTTTGTTTGTTTGTTTATTATTGAGCCTAACAACTTCCATCCACCAGTCTCATTTCAAACCTCAAGAACTATATAACAGGCACAATCTAGCTCTCTTCCATTTGACAGATAATTATTTGAATACAGTTGACTCCCCAGGGACTGCTTTTCCTCCAGAGAAACAGCCCCAGTCTCTTCAACTGTACCTTACGTGACGTGGTTTTGAAGTACTATGCTTAGTCATTTAATCATTCTAGAGCTTTATCCAAGATCAATGCATAGACTGCACAAATTGCAACCCTTACTCTTAAAAAAGAAAGTCAGATTTGCAGTTGCTAGTCTGCAGGTCTCGGCACCCCTCCCACAGGTATCAGCTCCCCAAAGCTGCTGCTGACAGGGCACAGCAGGCTTAAACCCATCTATCAGAGCCCATAGGCTCAGATGTCCAAATTAACTCTTAAAGTCTTTTATAGACCTTGAACTTCAAGTTTCTTTTATCAATTCTTCTTCTCCTCTTTCAAAACTAAAGATCATTCTCCTTGTCAGATTTAAGGGAAGCAAAGCATGAGTTTATCAGTTTCCTTTTCTCTTTCTCATGTTTCTGTTTGTTTAAAACCTCAACTTTTTTCCAAAATAAATTAAAGCAGCTCTGTCATCTGTTGTCATCATACTATTCATCCATAATAACAGGGTTATCTTTCTTTTTCTTTCCCCTCTCTTTGCTTCCATCCTAACAAAGAAAATACGTTTTTTTGTTGTTCTTAGCATTATTCATAGGCCTCAACCCATTCGTGACTTCAGCCTTCTTACTATAATTTTATAGCCCCATGCCATTTTTATGTTTATCTATGGGTATCTATTTCTTCTTTCATCTTTTGTAAATTTTTTAGGCTCCAAATGTAATAGATCATTCCTAATTGTTTTATGAGAATTTGAGGGGATTTAGGGCATCTGACACTTCTTGAACATTCTTCCATTTAAAATCTCAGGTCATGTGATCAAATCTCTATTTTTTTTTTTATAAACTTTTATTGAAATCTATCTTCCTAAACTGTGCAACAATTCTATGACTAGCTATTGTGTCAGTCATTTCTTCACAGGGCCACTATTTTTTCTAACTTTATTTTGTTGGTCATAACTTAGACCAGACTACTAATACCTTTTTTAATACTAATGAGCTTCTTTTATTTTTTGCTTTAAAATAATTAAGAGAATGATGTTCAAGCTTGTTTGTTCCTTAAGAGTAGTGGTAAATATTTAACTATTAACTCTCCAGAAAAACAACAACAGCAAACCTTCATTTGTAGTCTTTGCCAAATACTATGGGGGTATAAATACTCCCAATACTGCTGATTTCAAGCTAACAATGTAATGTCTCTCAATACAGAGCTGGAAAAAGATGCACACTAGAACATCATAACATAAAATTTCCTTGATACAGATAACAATAAATATAAACATCATACAGAAACAACAGGTGTAAATAATTTCAAGAGCATGGCTGATCAAATGTAGTAAAATATTTAGAAAGAGATGGGTGTTGAATATTTATTACCAATTTTTTATTTTAATAATGCTTTATTTAGCCCAATATGTCCAAAATATTATCTTTTCAATATGTAATTAACATGAAAAGTATTTTTTTTCATTACTGCAAAATATTACAGTAGAAATATTTTGGTTACAGTAGAAAAGCTTTTGGTTAAATGGATGGCCTTTGTTATGATTGAGTCAAGGTTCTAAGTGTGCCCATCACCAAGTTATTTTTTGTTTGTTACTAATGAGCTTATAAGAGTAAAGAGGGCCAATAAGGTAAGGAATGAAGAAATTCTTTACTTTTTTGCTCAACAACACCTTCAGGCATATATCCAAGCAATTGAAGTCCTACATTGTTCCTTTATCACGTCTCTGACTAGTGCTATTTATTAGCCATGTCAGGAAAGGTCTTCTTGTCCGCTCAATCTGACCTGGGTTGCTGGAGTGTGTTGTTCCTCATTCTTGTGCCAGAGATGCTAGAGACTAACTTTATGGTCTCAAATGTCCATATACAGGGCAAAGTTTATGGATAACAATTGATCTTAAAATGTTAACACAAATAAATAAATAAATAAAAGATTCTTGGTAAAGACTTCGTGGGATAAGTTGCAGGAATACTTCCAGTGCTATTTTTATGGCATTTCTGTTGTGTGTCACAATATCCCACAAGAAAAAACTATAAAATCTTACAGGACATTCTCTTCTCCACCCCTTGAAACATGTCTTATGTTAGTTTAGAGTCCTCTTTCTTAATCCATTTACGAAGTCTCTCTGGTCAAACCATTCTTCATAAAATGCTTCTGAGAAGAATCAAAGTGCAGGCTTCAGAAAAATAGCATGACTGTTGATGGGGTCAGTCACCAACCACAGGGTAAGTCCCTTCTCCCTGAAAGCAGTGATGGATTTTCTCTGGTCAACTCAAAACTTGTGTATCTTCCTTGTTACTTATTGCTGGAAGATCAATAGGCTAGTGTCATACAGAATGAACCTAAGAAAGTAGGGCTTAAGAGGTGAAAAAAAAAAATGAAGAAAAACTGGATAATACACTAATCCAAACATAAGGTCACTAGGACCAAGACAAGGATGGAGTAACTGGAAAAGAGAAGGAAAAACATATTGTGTGTGGGAAGGATCTAGGCCTTGGAGACTGACCATATGTGAACAGAAAGGGAAGGAGAAGGTCACAGATAAATCCCAGGTTTCAGACTTGAGAGTCCTGGGCAAAAATTGAAAAACTGGTAATGGCCAGTCAACTTGAGTGAAGCATAGCAGGAACACAGTTATTAGTGGGGATGGGGGGCCTGAAAGTAGAGGGATTGACCAGGAAGGCTGTTTACCCAAGAAGAGACATCTCTCTGAATCAGCCAAGGAGAGAACTGGTGATAATCAAGGTGATATGCTGTGGTTCAAGGAGAAAGGACTGTGGGTTTTTAATACCAATAATAATATATCTATTTTTAAATAAATCATTTAAGTCAAACAGTGACTCTCTCAAATTAAAGTATTAAGTAAATATAGTAGTCCTCCCTTATCCATGGGGCATACGTTCAAAACCCTACAGTGGATGCCTGAAACCTCAGGTAGTACTGAACCCTATATATATTATATTTTTTCCTACATATAGACATACCTCTAATAAAGTTTAATTTCTAAATTAGGCACTATAACAGATTAACAACAATAGCTAATAATAAAATAGAGCATGATAACAACATACTGTAATAAAAGTTATGTGAATATAGTCTCTCTCAAAATATCTTTCTGTGCTGTATGGTATTTATCTGTTTTCACGCTGCGGTTCACTGCAAGTAACTGAAACTGCAGCAAGCAAAACCACAGATAAAAGGAGACTACTGTAATGGTAGAGTGATATGCAAATATGGTAAAGATTATGAAAATAATACATAATGAATGTATGTATTCATAATGAATGTATGTATGTAAATAATACAAAATGAATCTGGAAAACATTCTCACAATAGGAAATGATTTAAGGATTAGTATAAACCTAAGTGGATAAAGTTATAAACCTAAGGAATAAAGTTATAAAAGTCTTAGTCCTTGGGCTACAGTTCCTAACTCCTTCCAGATGGTAACTAGAAGATTCTTAATCAATTTCTGACATACCTGAGGTTCCTTCTCTCCTTGAAAATCCATCTTCTCTCCTCAGAGTTGCAATTAGGGTTGAGACTAAAAGTCCTCATAAAGCATATATTCTCTTTTCCTAAATGGACAATTTGTTCTTCTGAGGCCCTCTTTTCAGTGTGAACCCCCACACCCCACACTTTGGTCCTTCTCTGGACCATTTCTTCACACCTGCACATCCTCAACTCTCATAACTCTAAGTGTTTCCAACACAAACAGTGTTTTTACCTTTAAAGTCACGTGCTTGGCAGCTTTTGCATCACTTTTGGGCTGTCCATCTTCCAAAGGTTTACTTAATTCCACTGCTGGCTGAACTTCCAAAATTTCCTGAGGTTTCAATACTATGCCTTCTGCTTCTGAGGCTTCCCATTCTATATCCTCTTGTTCAATCTGGAACACACTTGACGTGGCTTCAGGAAGCTCCTTAAGCATATTCTATTGGGAAAAGTAAATGTACAAGAAGGCTCTTTTATTGGTCCTTCCAAAGTTTTCAGTGATGCAACGTTGACAACAAAATGAATATGAAAATGCATATTTAAAATAAACAGTGGTGGCAAGTTTCCTCTGAAGATTTATAAAGGGAAACCCAAATTGGCTTAAGAAAAATGTGAAGGCTGGCAATTATTGTCCTTGGTCCTTGTGTCAGAAAATATAGCCACTTCACAGTTGTTATGGGTAAAAGATGGCATACAGTACAAATACCATCCAAATTTCTTTATTATGCAAGAAGGGATTGCTGGACCAAGAAATTTACATTTTTAAAATGAAACTTTAATGTTGAGCTCATGTTATGTGAAGATTAAGAGCTTTGTAACCAAATGGGACTGAATTCAAACCCTGGATCTGTCAATAAATAGATGTTTGATCTTGGTAAAGTTACTTGAACATTTTTAGCTTCATTTTCCTCACAGCTAAATGGGGTTAATACAACCCTTTTTATTACATGACAAGGTGGATACATTGAGGCAATTTGTTTTATGGGCCTTGCCCCTACGCTGTCTACCTATGATAAATTCAATGATTTTATGTTCCCTAGCTTTTGGCACTGTTGGTCATTCCCTTTCTTTTGAATTTCTCTGCTCTTGGCTTCCTCAACACAGTCTCCCAGACAGAATAGGAGCAGGGCCCATAACATATATTGCCCCAGTGTATCTACCTTTCCATTTTATAAAAAAATTATTTTATTAACCCTTTTTACTAGTGAGGAACAAAGTTATAAAATCATGCAGGGTAAAAGATTCATTCAAAGAACATGGTAGATCAAAGGATTTTAATGTAATGATATGCAACAAGTTCATTTATTTGGTTTCAAATTCCACAATGCAACTAATCTTTAAGAAACTACCACTTGTAAAATGTTGGTGCGTTAACAAAGAAAAGTGGCCATAATTATGTAAAAATACTATTAAAATATGACTCTCTTTCCAACCTGTATGAAACCAAATTTACTTAATATACTTCAATCAACAACAACAAAAAAAAACACATTACAACCGATTGAATGTCAAAGCAGAGATGAGAATCTAGCTCTCTATTAAACCAGACATTGGATTTGCAAAAACATGTAAGACAATCCTACTCTTCTCACTCAAATTTTTTGTTTTGGATTTTTGTCTAAAAAGTATATTTTTATGTGATATTCAATTGGCTTATTGTTGTTATTTTAAATGAATAAATATTTTAAATTTTTCTCAATTTTAATTTCTAATATGGTAAATATTGGTTGATATAATCCACATAACCAAAAATTCTTTGATGTTACTAAAATAATTTTTAAGAGTGTAAAGGTATCCTGAGACTAAAAAGTTTGAAAATTTCTTAAAACAGAAATTGTGTCTCACTTATCTTTTATATCCCAAGCACCTAGTATATTATAGACATTCTGCAATTATGCATGAATAAGTCAATGAATAAATGAATGAAAGGAAATTATTTCAATTTTTATCTAATATACAGTTAGTCACTATTATAATACTCATTAAATGGCAGTATGCTTTGTCTCTTTACATATTGGTCTACTTTCTAAATGAGTTCCTCCAGGGCAAGAACTGTCTTTTCTGTCTTTGCATCAACCATGTTTAAAACAATAGCTGGCACATAATAGGAAAAGAAATGAATGAATACATTTCATTATTTTTTTTTTATTTTGAGTGAGTAAGTAAGGAAATCACTCACTATAGTGGTTCAAAAACTGTTATATTCAAACTTGGTGGGTACTTAAAAAGAAAAGGTATTCCATTAAGAATGTTCCTTTTGAAAAAGAAACACGTTGTGTCAAAGAACTTAGAGAACTCTGGCTTGTGGCATTGAGATGCTCATGACTGAGGCCGCCATTTTCTGAGGGCAGGTGCCAGGTACGAGGTGCCACTGAGAAAGAACAGGCCCTTCGAATAGAGACCATGTCTGAGATCTGTCTGGGCAGTGCTGCCCAGACAGATCTCAGTTCAGGAACTACCAGGGAAGCTTCTAGAGCAGTCTAAGGGTCAGGTAGGACAGATAGAGTTCTGCTGTCTGGCACAGAGTAGGCATCCCCCCCAAAAAAATATGTCTGGAACCATAGAGAAGCCTTTCTACCATGACCAGGTACAGCGTCAAAAGGTATTTTATCTCTAAAGAAGTGGTGAGCTTCCTCATAAAAAGCCAGTGGCCAGAAGAGAATAAGTGATTGCTCATTGTTCCCACAGACTTGCAAAGAAATTAATATTTTTGTTTAAATCTTTCTTTTAAATAATCAAGATGATGTCTAAGCTAGGTACCCAGTAGCCTTTTTCATCATTTTCTTCAAAATGGTAAATTTTCTTATACAGGGTGTCCCAAAAGTCACCATACATAGGGAAAATGGGAAACCATAGCTACATGTATCTTTATTTACAAAATATTCATTGCAGAATTTTTCCTTTGTATGGAGACTTTTGAGACACCTTATATTTTAGATGAATATAGTGAATGGTATTAACTCAAGTTTATTCTGTTATGAAGACTTCTATTTTGTTAAACCTAACTGATCTTGTATTTGCAGCTTATCATACCTATTAAGAGGATCAGATGTCAGAGGTTTTGCTATCTACCTGTAAATGGTGTCACCTCGAGGCAGCAACCTAGATGCTTATAGCATGTATAGTAAGGCTTCACAATTGATTTACCCACATATTATTACCAAGTGGCTACTAGTTCCACCACATGCTGGGTCCTGAGGCAGGTGATAAGAATATAACAGAGAAAATGATATGGTCTCAACCAGAAACATCTCAAACTCTAGTAGCTGTACCCTTTGTGGCAATTCTAATATAACAGAGGATCCATGGCTTTCATGAAAAGACAAGATCCCATGTGCTTTTTGAAAAAATGATATGCTATCCTAAAAATGAGTTGTAATCACAATTTTTATGTTTGTGGGGCCATTTTCCAGGAACCAAAGGAGCTTGTTATTTGATTAAAACATTTTATGAATCCTTTATAAAGGAATTTATCATCATGCCATCATTTTTCTATACAAATGTGTTTCTCTGCAAAAGGAGACACTTCCCATTCATAGGGAATGTGTTCCAGATTGCTTTGAATCCCACTATTATTTTGTCAATGGTGGATAAACAGGGAGCTTTATTTCTGAAAGAAACTGTCACCAACTGTCCATATTTCTCAACCAAATTTTGTCCTTGTCAATGATTTTAACAATTCTTCTAGCAGAACAGAGTTTAGAGGGATGCTTTCGTACAAGTTAAATAACTTTTAATTGATTCCCCATCTATCTTCTAGATTCGAATGTCTCTAAACAAGAAGAGTAGTTAAAATCTTGCCCTTCTGAAAAGAGTTTGAGCTTTAGCTCAGACAGTCAATGATAGCCAGCTACAGTGAGCCAAAGTAGCCAGGACTCCCAAGGTGGGGTTGCATTAGTGATCGAAGTTAAACATAACTCTAAAATAAATCAGAGGAAATATTTTTTCAACTCTCTATATAAACATTCCAGTAACAGGAGGCAGACTGTTACTTTAACATAGGAAAGGAGGATTTTCACTAAAGATTTTACCACTTGAGGCTCCTCAACACTTATCGGTAATCCTTGTTCTACTTGTATCTGAGGTGTTTCTGCTTGTATCTCAGCTGATCTGACGTGCATTTGTCCCAGTAAAGAAATATCCTTGAAGGAGGAGAAAAGGAAATAATTAAAATAATGACAATTTTAAAAATCATCGAGGCACGTTTTTTGATGTAACAAAACGCTAGTCAGTTAATGCAGTACATGAGAAATATAAAAGAGAAATATAAGCTGGTCAATAGCATGCAGTAAATTAGAACTATATAAAAAGCACAATAAAAGAACTATACCCCTGTAAAGTTTTTATACTATTTGTGAAATGGTATATTATTTACTAAGATAAATTAAATATGCATATTGAAAATCCCATAGCAGCCACTAACACGATAAAACACAAAGAAACAGCTAATAGTTTGGAATAGCATGGGATGCTAAAAAATAATAATAATCATAATAAGACAGGGAAAAAGGGAAAAAGAACAAAGAGTGTATGTGGCATATAGAAACCAAATAGCAATATGGTAAGTCCAAACTCAACCATATCGATAATTACATGTAAATGGTTCTAAACACTGCAATTAAAAAGATAAAGATTGTTGGACCACAGAAAAAAACAAAACAAAGCCCTACTATATGATAACTATAGAAACCCTACTTTAAGTATACAGACACGAATGGGTTAATAGTAAAGAGATTAAGGAAGATATAACATGCAAACACTAACCATAAGAAAACTGGAGTGGCTATATTAGTATCAGACTAAGTAGACTTCAAAACAAGGAATATTAGCAGGATAAAAAGGATCATTTCATAATAATAAAATGGTCAAGTCACTCAGAAGACAAAACAGCATTCACTAATGACAAAGCTTCAAAATACATAAAACAAAAACTAACAGATCTAAAAACAAAAATATACAAATATATTATTATAGTTGGAAATTTAAACCAGGATTATCTGGCTCCAGAGACTAAAAGCCCAGACTTCACCCACTACACAAAATATACATGTAACAGAATTCCACTTGTACTCTCTAAATTTATTGAAATGAAAAAAAAAAGTAAGCCAAACTAAAAAAAAAAAAAAAAATACTGAGACATAAAAATTTACTTGAATCAGAAATCTTGAATTTTGGACCAAGAAAAAAGTCAAAAAGAAAAATTTTAGGTAATACTATTAGTATTTTATCTAACATGCATTTACACTATCTTGTCTCCCTGAGTTATAAACTATAACTAGTAGTATATTTCTACATCTTCTACAGGGTCTGGCAAAGTGTTGAACAAATTTTTAAACTCCATAAATAATTGAAAATTTATACAGCTGTGAGCAGTCCAGCTTCACAATCCTGGATACATTTTTCATGTGTTTCACAGAGCAACTTCCAGCTGGGACAGCTAACTTAGAATCCAAAATGTCAGACCTGGAAGGAACTTAAAGGATCGGTAAAATGTGAAGGAAGCCCAAATTTCACAGACGCTGAAACCAGAGCTTTGAGCTTTAACTAGTGCTGTGTAGTATTCAAAACAAACAGAGCACATGGTCTTTCCCCTAAACTGCTTCAAGCAGATGAACCAGCCACAGAGGCAGCAGTGTTCCTCTGCTCTTGGGCAGGCCCAGTAGTTTTTTCAATAATCATTAAAAGGCGTGGGGAGAGCAACTGTCCCGCTACTCTTCATCATGCAATCCAGGTTCTCCCCACATGACACTGGCTGCAATGACATGGGCAAAACAGCATTTCTAACATACACTCTTTTATAGTTTCATCAGCACTTGGTCAAGGTGTACTGCCTTTAAATAACTTACTGTGAAGTGCAAGTTTCAGAAAGAAGGAAAGAGAAGGCATTCTATGGCCCAAAACAAGTACACAGGTAACTTTCTTGAGAAACTGCCCTGATTTTCATTGACTTTCTCTTGCTTCCTGCAGGCAAAAACCCTGATGGTGTTGGCCTGTAGAATCCTGCTTACAAGCACAAGAGCTGCTTTACATTCGCTGTCACCACTTTTGACTTTTATTTTTATTTTTATTTATTTTTTTTTTTGAGACAGAGTCTCGCTTTGTTGTCCAGGCTAGAGTGAGTGCCATGGCGTCAGCCTAGCTCACAGCAACCTCAAACTCCTGGGCTCCAGCAATCCTTCTGCCTCAGCCTCCCGAGTAGCTGGGACTACAGGCATGTGCCACCATGCCCGGCTAATTTTTTATATATATATCAGTTGGCCAATTAATTTCTTTCTATTTATAGTAGAGACGGGGTCTCGCTCTTGCTCAGGCTGGTTTCGAACTCCTGACCTAGAGCAATCCGCCCACCTCGGCCTCCCAGAGAGCTAGGATTACAGGCGTGAGCCACCGAACATTTTATGTGATTGTTCTGGGTAACTGGACCCTGCATTCAGTAGAACAACTGAAAAACGTAATTTGAAAAAACATCAGCATTTGAAGGGCTGCCATATAAATTTAAACATCAAAATTGCTACGGAAACCGTAACTAAATACATGTGTCCTCTTTTCCACAAAGTCCTAGCAGAATATAGTCTATTACTTAAGCCTATTCAAAAATTACACTATTCCCAGAATCACTGTTTCAAGTAAGATTTCTATTTTTTAAATATCACTTCTCTAATAGTTGCCCTATGCTATAAAACCATACAGTGCTCTTAGGGGAAAAAAATTACTATGGCATTCATGAAAAGATTGTTTAAACCAGATTACCTAAAACAGATGCAATCAGAAAAATATTTCCAGAATATGATCAAGTCTGTGATTGCGTAATGCACCATCCTTTACTTCTTGACATCTATGCTGGAAAAGACAACACAAAATCCAGGCTTTTCCTCTCAGAAGCCTATAGAGAAATTTGAGTCATTATGCCTGCTTCTAGGTTACAGCATCTGCTCTGTCGGATATGACATCTCTTTGAAATACGGACCAACTATTTAGTGAGTTATGATCAGCTATGTGAGCAGCACTGTGCTACAGCACTTCAAGTATAGGAATCCAAGAGAAGCATAAGGCAAGATTCTTTCCCTTCAGAAATTTACAATCTAGTTAAAGAGATGAAAATAACAGACTAGAAATAATGTTATTCAAAATGCAAAGCAGTATATTTAATCAAGTATAATTATTATGCACAGGGCTCAAGTTCAACAGGGATCCAATTTATACAGAGAGACGAGGAAAGAGTATAAATATCAGAAAATGCACCCATTTGAACTATGTTATTGAAAAATAAATTTGGGAAAGATCTGAGTTCTTGGGACAGGAGGTGGAGGGCAGAGGAAACACAGTATTTCATATTTTACTATAAGACCACCTGAAAATAATTATGCATCTGTATCGATGAATTTTGAAAGTTCATATACCTCTTTTGTTCATTTGGTCAACAAGATTGCATAAAATTAAAATTTTCAAAACACAAACTGAGGAAGGACGAAAACATATTTGTTGTGTTTTCTCAAATGAAACTAAATCTAAAAAACTTTGTTTTTGCTGTTCCTGAATAAAATAAAAGTCTGGCCACCCCTGATATAAATGATAAGCAATATAAAAGCTCCACCCTGTGGAATAAATGCATCGTGAAAGAGGACCAAAGGAATGAATTTTTCACCCCAGAATGTCAGACGAGACAAATGTTTTTAAGGGTTGGTACACATGAAAAAAAAAAAAAGAAGAAGAAATCAAATTGTATCTTTATGTAGAGTTGTATGGGTTGCACTGATTTTATCACTTTATTACATATCAGATTGTCTGAAAAACAAGATAAATTGGCATCTTCCTCCAAAATTCAAAAACAAAATTAATTTCATTTAGAATTTAGGCCTAAGAATTAACCAACCACTCTACTCTTACCCTCTGCTTAACTTGATAAGGTTTTTATTAAACAAAATAATATTTTTCTAATTTGCTATCTTTGAAAAATCTACTTAATGACAGTGTATTAAATCATTTCTAATTCATGGAACATATCAATATTTTATTTTTCTTTATAGATTCTCCACACCATTCATATTGGAATACTTAGTCTCCCAAGGACACTGGAGCCTTTTTTAGATCAGTGTCCTTGTTTATGCTTGTCTCCTACTAGGGAATTCGCTTCCCAAATACTTTCATGGGTGGTTCCCCAGGTGACATAGGGAGATGTTTTATTTGGCAGAAGGGGGTCTTATTTTTTTAAAAGAAAGCTTCCAAAGCTTTCAAATATTTTTTATTAAAATCCTATTCCTCCTTAAACATTCACTCAGAATTCATTGTTCCCACAGCACATGACCTGTACATCGATTTGGCTTTATGCTATTAGAATGTGCTTTCAACCACTCCTAGATCCTTACAGATTTCAAGAAGTTGGTTTTCTCCTGGTGATCCTCGTCTTCAAAATCCCAGGGAGCCAGCTGCATACACCAGAAAGGAACCATCCTTGACATCTCTGCTCTCCCTCACTTCCCTAATCCAAATCATCACTAAACCCTTAAATTTGCTACCTAACATCATCTCAGGAATCCCCACTGTAGCCTCTTAACCATTATAACCTACACCTCTCTAATCACCTTCCACCACAGCCATCCACTCCTCATCCTGAGTCAAGGTAATCCTCTCGAATTCAACTCTGATCAACGCACACAACATACATACTGACATGGCTGACTGGGTCAACTACCCACAGTTTTGCAGGCTGTGACAACACAATGCAGCTTACAAAACGGTTTAGAGTTTGAAGCCCGTCTCTCCCACCAGATCATAAGGAAAGGACTCCACCACAGCACCCGGCAGTTCTTTGCATCCCAAAGTTGCCAACTACTTTAAAAGAGTCCATTTTAGAACCTCCATACCTATATCTGTAGTTGGGGGAATATATTTTGGAATTGCCTTCAGATACAGCTTGCCATTGACAAAAGAAAATTTGTCTTTTGCATCTTCATTGTTACACCTGGATTTTTGACCCAAGATGGTTTCACCCCTATCAAAGTGTTCAGCCTTTTTATTCACAAGACATTGCTCTCAATGACATTTGGTTGTTTCCAAAAAACCCAACCCACCCCCTAATGGATAGATACTTGACAAAAGATTAATAAAAGAATGTATTATGGGATATGAGAGCTAACAACTA